CACGGCATCAATTCTAAATAAGAGAAAATGTATTTAGGTAGGTAGATGAAAAAAAACGTAGCTAGCTACTAAATACTAGAAATTCACCTGTCTAAATTAACTTGGTACGGCGGCGTACGGCATACGGGTAGGCGGGAGGGCGTTTCTTGAGTTTTAAGAAAGCTTCTGTAATACGGTATAAGTAATATCCGAAACGAACATAATCCTTTTTATGTGTTACTTTTATATAATTGAAACTCAACAAAACGAAGCCCATTACCTAATAATCGCCTTTGAGATAAAACAATGTCAGTTACAAGTAAAAGGAAAACAAATACAAAATTATTTATGACTAAAGCACAGCTAACAAGATGAGTTAGTCGAGGGAGAGCCATGCCTCGGCTCATATAGACCAGGCTCGACCGGAGTGATTCCACGGCCTCAAAGTAAACCTGCGTTAAGCAGCTTTTTCGTTGCTTTTCACCGAGTGAGAGAGGTTAACGGAGCCCAAACCCTCCCCTTTCCCCTGATTTTGGGGGCAGGGACTGAAAGGGCGGCAATGGACTAGTGACTCTTACATTGCAGGTGCCCATGGGCGGTGGTAGTCACTTACCATCATACGACCTGTCAGCTCGCTTGCCCCCAAACCCCATAAAAAAAGATAGCACGGGATGGCGGCGAACTGAGCCAGAGCGGATGTCCACTAGTTAGTCGCGAAGTTGACCGACCAACGCACGATACTTTACGAACACTGAATTTCGGCGCTGCCGAAAGTTTCGGCCAATTTTAGCCAAACCGAAACTAGATATTTTGGCCGAAACTGGCGGAAACCGAAACTTCGGTCGGTCACTATAAACAAGTGCATGACAATCCAAATTATGAATAGTACTTCCCGTTTTTAAATTTATAACAATTAGTTACAACTGTTACTTTATCTAAGTGACTAAGTATTGATTGCCGATAATCATGAAGTTTAATTTTTAATTTAGTTTTTCCACACCGTACCATTTTAAACACCGTAAGATTGAATATTCTACCACATTCACACAATGCCATCTAGCCCCAAACTAAGCGGCGCTTGTACTATGGGTTAGTAGACAACTGATATTAATACATATATACTTTTTTTTGTAAATACATACTTATTATACATAGAAACACCCAGACCAAATCAAACATTAAATGTTCATGCACACAAATCTTTGACTTGAGCGGGAATCGAACCCGCGACCTTTGGAATAGCAGTCCGTTACACAAACCACTACGCCATCCGGTCGTCAAATGAATGATGAAGCTTCTGTACAATACCGAGACCGCTGACCTGGAATTTACCGCCATTTTAATTAAATATGTCGCAGGAATAAGGATGGCAGTATGTCGTCATCGCTCATCCCATACGCATAGTTGTTAGCATAGTTAGTAGCCTGTGAATGTTATGACCCATAGAATGAAAGGAATGAAAAGCCAAATCGATACAACCAGTGTAACTGTGCGACCAACAATGGCCTACAGAACCGGTATGACTAATTGCCGTTAAATAAACAGCAGGGAAACAAACTACATTGCACAGAAATACGAATGAAAATGAAACCTTGTCCGCTAGCGTCACAAAGCTTGATAAAGAACCCATCATCTTCAGAGTAAGGCACCGGAGAAATTCACCGAGATGCGCCTGCGTTGGTGTGGCTTTATCAGCCAGATACCAGGTGTCATGATAAGGCTGCAACTTGAATCGGGACCAAAGAGCCGTGACAGACCCCATATGCTAAAAGGTAATAATGAAAAACCTAGCCAGGAATGACCAAGAGAAGAGAACTACAGCAAAAGACGGTTTGGAGAGCCGGATCTATTTGAAAATGAAAAAGGAAGGAACAAAAAATATGGTTGACGTTTATGTGTTTTTTGATGGTATGTGTTTGCCGATGTTCTTGTATTCTAATCTCAGTGTTAGTTTTGAGTCTAACTTATTCTCTCTTATTTAAATATTAGATCCAGGAATCTTCCATGCTATTTTGCATTTCTACGAAATGTTGTAAGCAGTGTTAAAAACGGTATCAATTTTAAAAATATTTCTTTTGAAATCGTATCGTTATGAACAGGGCTTAGAAAGCTTAATATTACCATTTAATTTATGATAATTTTATAAGATCGCCAAAGCAGCATTTTCTTTTATGGTATAATTTATACATTCCAGAAGTATTTTATTATTTTACACAATATTACAGTTTTATCTGCATCAGTAGATTTTCAGTTTGGTCTTGAAATTATCGTAATATTTTTTTGGTAAATATATTTCAGGTTACATCTACTGTTTCAGCACCAGTTAAATATTGTATAATTTTTATTGCAGCACCTCTTTCTGGGACAGGACACTTAAAACATAATAACCTCCTTTGAAGACATTAAATCAACATTATTAAGGCTGAGGCGTTTGTCATTTGATAACAGTTTACTTTGTCCTCATTCAATGTTGAATTAATTGGATCCTAGAAACGAATGACTGTACTAAGAAGCACAAGCGTACACCGCACATTGTGCAAAGGAAGTACAACTTCCAACTCGTGCATAGGTAGACGCAGACACCTTAATAAACATTTGACACAACGGATGTGGTTTTTGAACCTAAATACAGCCTTTTTATACAACGCCAAGTCAGCCTTTGTATTTGATTGATTAATTTTTATGGTCTATCTAACATAGTAAAGAGTTGCGAGGTGATACCGAGTTCCTCGATTTTTGACCGTGTGCCAAAAACGAGCTAACAGCGACAAGGAAAAAATAGACATGTCAAATGTTATGTAACTGATATTATATGTCTACGTCAACATATTTCGAATCAACTTTTCTAGTTTAAATGTGTTTTAGGTGTATAAATAAAATGGATTGCGTTGCTTTGTAAATTAAACACAAAAGTGAGAATGTTTCAATTAGTAAAATTCGGACTAACTATCCATATTTCTATAATGGATAGATGTTTAGGATAATATCTGATAATAAAAGGACAAGTCCCTATGCTGTAAATAATTACTATGTAGTAGATATGTCAATGACCTCGCTTTCAAAAGGTATGCCAAGGTGATAATTATTTAACTGATGACAGGTGTACTTTTAGATATACCAGCTGTGAGACGAAATTGTAACGAAATGAGCGTATTTGAATACAAGTTCAAATTAGGTTGAGGGAAACTAACATATAGGTAGCTGCTATTCATCAGAATGTTGTAAAAAAATTTTTTTTTGCATTAAGGTTTGTGAAATTAAAAAAACATTTTACATATGCTTTTAATAGGATACCAAAAAAATACTGAATCATTTATTCCAAATACGGACTCTGGCAGCTTATGTAAATCACAAATTTTATAACCAGTTCCAACAAAGCTCGTCCTCACCACTTTCACGCCTGATTTCTAACGTAACCGTCGATGTTTTTTTGACATATGAATGTAAATTCACAACGATTTATAAAACTTTCTTCCAAATTTGTTCATTTCTATAATGACGTAAGATTTATGTTTATAACTGATATTATTGATTACTGATTTATACATTTTCGAAAGTCATTTGTCGGTATGGACCGCACGTCCGAGCTTCCTGTAATACATGTGCCAACCTTTTGACGTGGAAAGCATGTTTGCCATGAGTGCGCTACTGACCTCCTTGCGGAAGACTGTTCCAGCCATTGGGAGTGCGAGTGCGACTCGTTGGGTGACTTTTCCACGCAGGCGCATCTCAAGTTGGTCGACCGCGACATTGACCCGCCATACATGATCGGCCAATGCACCTTGTGTCGCAGGCTCTTTGTTTATATCCTGCGAGGCCTCGAGCCTTGGTCGTTCATTGTCCTTCTCCGTAAGTCATAGCCATAATATTAGTCAACATACCTGCATACGATTTCACGTGACATGTTGACTTATTGTTATTAAAAATGGTTTGAGGTGTTAATGAGTAGCGTTTAAGATTACACATAACCTTGACGTAACGCCAACTGTTTTCTCTAAATACTAACATTTTTTGTTTATCGACTTAATTCTTAATACATATTTAAAATTAACGGTATTCATTTAATCCATGTATATAATATATAAATCATAAAAGGAATTTCATTTATGATCGAAAAATTGACAATAAAAATAAATAGGTATAAACAAAACATACCTATCACATACAATTTATTTGTAGCTAATATTTATTTTTAGGAAACAAATCGGAATGTCGTAAGTCATTAATGACATTCCACAGGTTGCGCTACCGGGGTGCGTCAGAGCATTCAGAGCATTCGTCACGGACCACCAGGTTATCGAGTTAACGCAAACGCTTAAAATGCAGTTTACCCAGACAGTAGCCATACCAATTTCCTGAAATATGGGTTTCATGGTGACGTAAAGTCGGACGCCCGCGCTTTCAGCGGCGCCTGCGCTGGACCCATTTTAGGACATGACTAACGGAAATTCGACTCCTCTCTCTCTGGCCCGTTCACTCCCGCAAGAAGCCGCGTGCATTCATCTCGCTCGCACGAAAAGCTTCAAGAAATCTTTTAATAGTGTCCACGGCCGCGATCTACTTTCAACTAGCCGCGGGAAATGTGCAAAACATTATTTAAAAATTTGAAAATACGCGCTTATTTAAAAAAAGAATATAAATAATAAAGTTTATCATATTTTTATTAATTTTATATTAATATCAGCTGTATTTTGTCTGTAGGACGTCTTTGCGGATAATCATATTTCGCTAAAAATAGATCCATAATCAGATATATTATGTCAGTCTTATTAATTTATAGGCTAGGTGTGAGATCAGATGTAACAGAGCAGTAGTACTATAGTGAGTATGAACGGTTTTATCGATTTACGATAAAATAGGTATTAATTTTTGTAAATATACAAACATGAGTCACGGATGAGATAAGGGTTTCCTTACATTCTTGTAACAAGCCCTGCGTACGTGTTTAAAAATTATTCCTAGTTTACCTATACCTACCCTACGGTACTGTGTAAACATTATGTTAGGTGTCTAAAACTGACCTTTTTCTGTTGTTTTTCCCAAGCTGGGTCTAGCAGACCCTCGCGTTCCCACTCCTCTTCCTGTTCCATGTATCCATCCGCATACAACCCCCCATCATAATTGTTTGTCATCACTCCGTTCTCCATCATCATGGTCACCGCACTGACCGTCGATTTCGATGTTCGTTCGAGCCTATGACCGCGAACTCGCGTGTGTTAGTTCGTACCGCGCACTGCAACAAGCAGCTGGCCGCGCGCCCGCTGCAAGAAGACTGGCGCACAAGCGCTACAAGCGGCGGCGTGAAGAACTTTCCAATGACGTTTCGTTACACTAACGCAACTGTCAAACTTATTCGCGGAGAGTAACGAGACGTGCTCTAGAATGTATCACCTCCAAATAAATGTATTCAAAGCGCGTGGAGGAATAATCTATGCTTACCCCCTTTATTTTTACCCTACTTCTCATTTGTAACAGAGAGTTACGTACAGAGAATCTATAAATAACATTTTGGCGTTAAAATGCGTGGGTAAGCCTGTTATTATTTAGTACTACTTTTAACTCGTATCTATTAGAGCTCTCGTTTTAATTATGGCATTTGACTTTTGTTTGACAAGTTAAGGAACGTATTAATATTGATTTAATTAACTGGCTGCACGATTAAGTACAGCTATATTTTTACCCGAATTAAAAAAAAGGAGGAGGTTCTTCATTCGGTAGTATATTTCTTTTATTTGTTTTTCTTCAGAATGCCATCTTTCAATTTGAAATTGACGTGGAAAAAAAAAACTAAATAGAAACAAAACCGTTTTTATTTGAAAGGGAAACGAAAATACAACTCTAAAGGGTGAAAATTCAGTTTGTTGTTTGTTACAGTTCACCATAATGTAGGCTCATTGAAGTCGGTTATACTTTTTTAAAGTTAATTATTATTAAGTTTTATAGTAAGTTTATTTAAGTTAATTTAATTATGTAGCACTTACCAGATTAGATTATTAAATTAATGATTATTAATGAAATACATACAATTATAATTAATATTATTTATTTAACGGGACGCGAAAGTTTAAAAGTTAGTACATACAATTATATTATTACATATTCATGTATTTATCCATACTATAACTATAAATGTGAAAGTGAGTTTGTTTGTTACGCTTTCACGCCTAAACGACTTAACCGATTTTAAAAATTCTTTTACTAATCGAAAGCTACGTTATCAGCGAGTAACATAGGTTACTTTTTACCGCGATAACCGGTAACACACACACGGAAGGAGCCGCAGGCAAAAGCTAGTATGTATGTAAATGAATATTTATATACATGGGTATGTAAATTATTTATCTAGTTTATGATCGCTCGAATGTTGTAATTGTATAATATTTTGAACGTATAGATTTAGAAAGTCTCAATCTCTTCTCTTCATTATGTTTGCAGCTACCATTTTATTTTTACAACACTCTTCTCTCTTGACTGGGAGAGAATGCCTAAGGCATTACATCTACCAGTGTACTACTAGTGTATAAATATTAACTAAAAAAAAAAATTGGTAGGAAAATGTGGACATCTAATTCTCTACTTACCCCTTCCTGGATATAGGAGTATGTGTATGAAGCATGTTTTCACACATGTTGTTTCGTATATCTAGTTGCATAGAAAGTTCAAATACCTTTTGGTGTTTCTGTTTAACTTATTTCAATCAAAGATGCAGTCTAAACTATCACTTAAATATTGTGTTTAGCTATATTTGTGTATAAACGGAAAACAAACTCTACCTAAACTTTCGTCCAAGAGACGACATTACCAGCCTGCCTAAATACTGGAATTCACTGAGGGGCAGTAGGGCCAGCTGGGTCACTGGAACGAGTTTAGAAATGAAAGAAACTGCCCCAAATTCCCCAGTGATCATTTAGGTATTTGTGGCGGGTAGGGAAATAATGGAAAAGGCTTCTAACAAATTGTTGTTTTTTTAGGAAGATGACAATAGGCCCTTTAATAGTTTAGGTTTTCATTATTAGAAGACCCTTAGTAAACAACTGTTTTAAATTAGATCGAGTTGGCGAGCACAGAATAACTGAGGTTATAGACTTTGATGATGAAATAGGAAAAGACGGGAGCAACGTATGACCTGGTTCACAGGGGCGAGATGATTTTTATAATGAAATAGAAAACAGCAACAATCGCAACAAATATACAATCGAATACTTCTTGTTGATCAAAAAGTATAAATGTGTGAATGTCACAACCCAAAACCTGGATTTCTCTAAAATTTATAGAATTGGAAGACACTTCCTCTCTGACTTTCATATCGAACGGACGTGTTTTGCTTTTTCTCAAATAGTTATGATTTTTAATTTGTGCTTTGTTTGAGTGCGATAGTTACATTATCGGACCCTCTCGTTTCTGCTAAGGATAATTGGCGTAAGAACTAGCGGCCATCTTGTAAAGTGTCGGACCTGTCGGGACCAATTTGATGTCTTTTTGCTCCAGCGTGTATAATCGGATCAGGCAGCTTGAGTTAGAGCTATTGAAATCTCATCATCTCAATCTATCGTCGCAGCGCCTTCGTGATACGCTTCAATCAGCGGTTACCCGTTTTAATAAATCCCACCCTAACGACAAGTTATAGACCTCGCATATCGGTTTAACTGGTGCGTGCAACCAATAGAATATTTTTGTCTGAATACTGAACTGTAAAGACATGGATTATAAATTCGTTTGGGTGCATTTTGGACAAATTGATATTCGTAAGAATGAAACAAACCGTGCCTTATTAATAAAAAATATCGAATCGGTAAAGAAATTGCGTTAGATTTCTGTCATTTCTAGATATTCTCTCATAAATAAATATTGTTTTTATATACAAGTTTAGTTCTACTTTTATAATGTTTAATGTTTACTACCAAAATGTAAACAGAATACGTAGTTAATTATTACAATTCAGTTTGAATTTATTATACTGTAATTTTGATATCATATGTCTGACGGAAACTAACTTAAACAAAGGTGTTTGACGGAGAAATTGTTGATGCTCGTCGATGTTTTCAGAAGATATCGTGAAGGTACTTCATCTGTTAGAATTGAGGGAGGTGGAGTCTTATTGGCTATACAAAAGAAATACCATGTTATGCGTCAGCCATCATGGGACGGTGATATGGAGGATGTCTGGGCTAGTGTTCTTCCCTACTCGCGTGCTGGTCCTCGCCTCAATGTATGCGTTTGCTACTTGCCTCCTGACATTAGCTTTCAAAACTTAGAACGCTTTTACGCTTATTGTCAAAATCGAATAGGTACTTACCTTCTGACCATTTCTTATTAATGGGACATTTCAATACACCTGACATTTATTCAGCTTGCTTTAATCCATTTTCGGCTACGACACCCCCAATACAAAAAAAAAGCTTTATCTACTCAGTGAATGATGTGGTGGTGAATGATGATGTAATTTAAAACAATATAATAATATCACCAATAATAATAGACTCTTACTGGACTTAGTACTTTCAAACAAGGATTATTTAACTGTTAGTGAAACACTTGCACTAAGCTTGCAAGACAAGCATCATCCTGCTCTTTTGATTACTGTTACCTCGCTACACATTTCAAAGGGGTTTCAGCATTGCACTGCGAATGTTTACAAAGATAAATGTTTATAAAATTAATAAAAATTGATCTGTCTTTAGTTCCACGAATTGGCATGAAATATTATCTTGTGCTGACATAGACGTGTATACTGATACTTTCTATCATACAATATTTAATTTAATAAAAAACCACACACCAACCACTTATTTCAAACCCTCGTCATATCCCATTTGGTATAGTAAGTCTTTAATTAAATGCAATAAAGAAAAAACAAATTTCACAAACTATTTAAAAAGTATAGTACGATGTCTTCTCGTTACTTCGATATAGATGTAAAACTCTTACTAAAAATGCTATGAGAAATATGTCTCAGATACTGAAGGTTCCTTAAAGAAGAACATCAAATCTTTTTGGCGATTTGTCAATAATCGGAAAGGTCAAGCAACAGTTGCTAATACTATGACTTATGAAAGAACTTCGTCGTCCAATGGTCAGGGGATTTGTGGTCTCTTTTCACGTTATTTTGGTTCAGTATTTGAAAAAAATCTGACTATAGAACTAATACTATCAGTCACAACAACTAGTCTCATATCTCAATAGAAGAGAGTGATACAGTAAATAAAACAAAAAAATAAGAAAAAAAAAATAGACTACAATTAGACTTTTATTAAGCGTTTTGGAAAAGAATTATCACTTCCTTTGTTTATTATTTTTAATAAGTCATTGATTGGCGGCAACTTCCCTAAATGTTGAAAAACAGCACATATCATTCCCATATATAAGAGTGGTGACTAGTCAAATTATGAGAACTATAGGCCTATTATTATTTTATCATATTTCGCAAAAATATTTGAATCTCTAGTTTTCAAACACCTATATAGTCATATTAAACCAATTCTCTCAGATAAACAACATGGTTTTGTTAGGGGCAAGTCGACAATTACCAACCTGTTAGTGTATAAAAGTTATCTTTGTCAGGCATTCGCCGTCGGTGGTCAAGTCGACTCTGTGTACACCGATTTCTCCAAGACCTTCGACAAGGTCAGTCATCATTTGCTTTGCCGAAAAATAGCCTCCTATAGTGTCCACGGTAGCTTGTACCGATGGATCTGCTCGTATCTAGAGAACATACTCAATTGGTTGCATTGAAAGGCTATGTTTCCTCGATTACTTAAGTAACATTCGGAGTACCTCAAGGCTCCCATCTAGGACATCTGCGTTTCGTAGTATTTATCCATGATTTAATTCAAAACTTGTCTTGTAACTGCCTGTTGTATGCTGATGATTTAAAGGTATTAACGGTAATTTCTAAAATGGATGATCGCTTAGCCCTTCAGCATGTCAATACAATATCGGAGTGGTGTAAAGTTAATGTGATATCCTTAAATTTTAATAATTGTTTAATAATATAATTTACTCTAAAGCGTAATAAACTTATTTGGGACTACAATATTGATGGTCAAATAATAAATCGGACACAGGCTTTAACAGACTTAGGAATTATTTTTGACGACAAACTTTCATTTCGCGCTCATTATAGCTATATAATATGCAAAGCCAACCAACTCCA